AAATCATATTATTGAAGTATCACAGAAGTATCTGAGCAACCTCTGGGGATTATAAATTTGGGATCTGATATATACTGATCCTGGAAACTGTAAACTCCTCATATATAAAGACTGGAGACCTACAGGAGAGCTAATATTTGTACTCCAACCCCCATTCGAACCACCACCAAAAAGGATTTTTAAAGACATTCCAAACAGACTCAAAGCTAATGCACTTTGAAGAGCTGTGGAAAGCTGTGACTTTACCTTTGAAGCCCAACACTGCACTCATACCCCGATAGAGTAGAATGAGGAATTTTAGAAGAAGTGACATGGAAATGGTAGAAGGGGCCGGTAGAAATCCTAGATCTGGTGGACAATTACAGAGTCCACAAGAATGGCTCATTATTGAAGGATTGATGGAAAGCCTCAGTGCAAGGGAATCAAGACCAAAAAGAATGAGGCAGAGAAGGGAATGAAAGGCCACTTCTGTTGGAGCCCAGGATGTTTCCTGTCCCCAACTCTCATAACTAACATTGTTGCACATGCAGAATAAGATGCACAGTAAGAGTATTTATGTGAAAAACTCATCTACGAATAAAGCATATATTGCTCTATTGCCATATGAGAATGTGTGTTTATGTAAATGTATAAGAAAAAGAGACCTCCTAACTGAAGAATAAAGACTGACTTTCTCTGGGTAGAATAATAGAAGTGAGGATGTTATGTTTAAATTTTACCATCTTGACCACTTTGAACAGTATGAAACACAGTCACATTGCTATTAAACTATGACCACCATCCATCCCCAGAACTCTTTCAACTGAAACTCTGAACCCAGTAAACAATAACTGCCCCTGCCCTGTACAATCACCATTCTACTTTCTATGTCTACGAATTTAACTACTTCAGGTACCTCATATAAGTGGAATCATGCAGTATTTGTCTTTTCTGACTGGCTTATTTCATTTAACATAATGTCCTCAAGGTCCATCCACGTTGTTGCATGTGTCAGACTATCCTTTTTTAAAGCCAAATAAAATTCCATTGTCTGTATATACCACATTTTGTTTATCCTTTCATCCATCTTCGAGCCCTTGGGTTGCTTCCACCTTTTATCTATTGTGAATAATGCTACTATAAACATGAGTGTGCAAGTACCTCTTTCAGACCCTGATTTCAATTCTTTGGGGTATATTCCCAGAAGAAGAATTGCTGATTATATGATAATTCTATTTTTAATGTTTTGAGAAACTGCCATACTATTTTTTTTATAGCTGCTGCATCATTTTATATACCGGAGGCTAGAAGTTAGAAATCAAGGTCTCAGATTGTTATTTCTTCTAGACACTGTGAGGAAGGATCTATTCCAGTGATGGTGAACCTATGACACGTGTGTCAGAGGTGACACACAAACTCATTTTTTTGGTTGATTTTTCTTTGTTAAACAGCATTTAATGGCCTCCTTTTCTTCTCCCTCATTATAGTGCTTTATACTCTCTTAACATCCCTCTTGCAATATAAAAAGTCAAGAGCAGATGTCAAAGTGCCACATCACACTAAAATTAATCTTGTCTCACAAATTCGTTTAACACATATGTATATTTTTAGTAACATCAATGTAGTAATAAACACTTATTAATAAGCATTGGTGATTACAGTGGTGAATAAACTAAGTCCTGTGTTGCCAGAACTAATGTTCTAAAAGAAAGCACGGGAAATCTATACAAACATGTTCAGTGGGAAGAGGATTTGATTGGGGATATACAGAACAAACATGAGCACAGAAACAGGGAAATCCAAGTGGTCTGGAGATCAGAAAGTATTTCTTGTAGGAAGTATATAGAGCAATCATGACAAATTGGCAGAAATTACTCAGGTTAACAGAGGGTGCTGCAGGCAGTGACACCATCATGGGGCCAAGCTCAGAACTGAGAGAATGCGTGACATGTTCCATAAATCCAAGGGAGTTCAGAGTGGCTAGAGCTCAGATTGCAATTTAAAATGTGAGAGATGAGGCCGGAGAGAAATGCAGAGGCCAGATCAGGAAGTACCTTATAAATAAAATTCATCTACCAACCAGGCCACTTATGAGAATAAAAAGGGGCACCTTTAATAATTAGGTGGGAGCAGTAGGTGTAAACCAGGGCTATCAGAGAGTAACTGGAATGCATGGCCACACAACTTTTAAACCACAAGTACTAAGGTCATTACAGAATTTTATAGAGAGGAGTGGCTCAATACTATTACATTTAATAAGCTTGCCCTAGCTGAAGTATAATAAACAAATGGGAGAGGGGAGGGGGGAAAGCAGGAAGATCCATTAAGACCACTGTGATGACTCCTACATGTGAGACGATGGTGGCCTGAATCACTGTTACAATTGTGAGAGTTAACAGAATAATGTCCAAAAATACGATAATAAACAAATGGGAGAGGGGAGGGGGGAAAGCAGGGAGATCCATTAAGACCACTGTGATGACACCTACGTGTGAGACAATGGTGGCCTGAATCACTGTTACAATTGTGAACCTATAAGAAAATTGATGGCGTAATATTAGGTTGAACTATATGAAACTGCTGCTCACCATTTTTTTAACTGCAAACAGTTTTAAAAGGTTCAACTAATAGGTTTGCAGGAAATCGGATTTATTAGACTTTAGTGTGTGCTAGACAAATTAACAATTTGAAATACTTATGTGTTATGTTTTTTCCCATGTGACCAATACTGGCTGAATCTTAGACTATGAGGGCATCCTATTATTGTAGGGAATCAGAGATTGGAGGCAGGGGAGGAAGAGAACAACGAATAAAGATCTGAAATCTGTGGTTTCTGAATCCAAAAGGTTAGAATTCAGGTAAGAATCCATTAGGGTATTTGAAAGTAAATGGAATTTGCTCGCCGCTGAATTAGTTCCTCCACAATCCACCATCACCAACTCCTAGACTAGACCAGCCCCTGAACCAGTGATGACAAAAGAATTGGCAGAGGTGTGAGGGTCCCCTGAAGAATTCATAACACTGGAATATTATCCCTCTTACAAAGGGAATGTTGGGAGTAATAGAGAAATTAAATAAAATATAGACTAGGATGCCTGCTAGGTTTCTAGTTGGACAGTGGGCTGACAGTGCTTTTCTAAATATTTATTGGAGAAGAAGAGCTTGAAGAAAAGTAGAAGACAATAAATGTGTAAATTCTAACTTCCAAAATTATTTTATTTCTTTTTATTAATTCCGACCTCTCTTTAGATAATTCAGTATTATGCAGGTTTTTATGATTAGAGAATTTTTTAATTTATTAAATTTTCAGATAAATGAAACTATTACTGCAGGGCAAATGTGTGTACATTTACTCAAGCAAGTTTACTCAGATTTTGAGTGTATGTTTCCAATCTTTCTAACATCAAGTCCAGGAGTTCTACTTTACTAAATTGAGTTGTAAATTTAGAAAATTTATAATAATAATAATACCAGTTTTTTAGTAAAACCATCAAGTTGGGGGAAATAATTACGTTTACTTCTTGCAAACCTTTCACTCAGCAGAAAATGACAAAAGTAACATTTCTCTCACACCACTCTATAAAAATAAAGTTAAGAGAAAGGGAGTAAAGAGGAAAAATGAAGAATAGTAAGATAAAAATAAAAAAACAGATATAGGGAGATAAGATAAAAGAAAAAATAGTTGTAAGAAAATAAAATAATATTCAACATTGTATACAATCAGTAAAGAAGTTATGGTGGATTTAAAATTCCCTTTAGAATAAGCAATACTGAGTTATTACCTTTATAACTAAATATTTTAATACATAAATCCTAAAGCAGGTCAGGGAAACCTCTTTCTCCACTGAGGTTAATAGTCCACATATAAAGCAAATAAAATTTATCCTATGTGGCATGGAAAATGAATAAAGTAGAAAGTAAAATTTTTAGAAAATGGCTTTTTAAAATTGGGAACATAGACCAAACTCTTAAGTAGCTAAGAAAAATAAGGTAATATAAATTGTTCTATATATTCTTACAATTCTTCAAGATGCTCAATCAACATCTGGTGTTAAATAATACATTTTTTCTCTTTGATTTTGCTTATATGTAGTTTTTAATTGCAATGAGAAAGTAATAAATATATACTGCTTCTATTACTAGGCTTTTTTTTAAAGGGGGAGGGCTTCAGTTTCACATTCTATTTGTGGAGGGGGAGAAACAAGGAGAGGCACTGAGACATCATGAGATAGAGTAAATAAAATAAAATAAAAATCCAACCCAAAGAGAATGAGGAAAAGAAAGAACAAGAATAGGTGGCTTGAGATAAAGAAGGGGGAATAATAAACACAAATGTAAAGATAATTGGGGGAAGGGAACAGTCAAAACTCCTCATCTATCTTAAAACTAATGTTTTAGAGGTTCTACTTCCCCAAACTCCACCTTATCAGATCCTATCTTACCATTCGCATCATAACTTATCTACATCATTCCTATTAAAACAGAGAAAAAAAATCCAGCTTTAAGACCAATGGGTGTCCAACTTTACTTGACTGCTCAGATTTTTTAAAAATATGTAGGGCGGAAAGGCTATGAATCACCTCTAGCTCTAAGTCATGGGCTGACCTCAAAGCCACTGTTTACAGAACACAACAGCTTCTCCAAGTTGATGCCTCCGAGACTTCGCTATGTCCACACATTTGAGAAACCCCACCCTTCATGGGATCTTAAAGTTGTATGCAACCAGACTCTAACTTTAAAAGCAATCGGATAAAAGAAAAATAATTCACAAGGGGAGAAAGACTTGAAAGGCTAGTTATTTTATGGAAAGATTACCAGAGTGTTGAGGTTTTTCAGGTTTCTGCATTCAATTGCCATGCACAATTATAAGAGCATTGCATACTCACCCCTTCCCCTAGATGCCCCTAAGGTGCTCTGTCCTCCCAAAGAAGCTAAGGCTGCTTTGGGGTGAGGCCCTCACTTCACCTCGCAACTGTCAGTGCTCCAGCAACAGCAGTGCTCGCCCAGCACTTGCCCACACCATGGCCTTGGTCTCGGAAGTCACCTGCATCTACTGGGCCCTTATCCTGCATGAAGATGAAGTAACCGTGACAGAGGATAAGAACAGAAGAAAGCAGCTGGGGTAAGTATTGACCCTTTCCGGCCAGGCTTAAAATGCCAAGAGCAAAAGACAAAGAGAGAATCTCTGCGCCTTGGTCTCGGAAGTCACCTTCATCTACTGGGCCCTTATCCTGCATGAAGATGAAGTGACCGTGACAGAGGATAAGATCAGAAGAAAGCAGCTGGGGTAAGTATTGACCCTTTTTCTGGCCAGGCTTGTTTGCAAAGGCTCTGGCCAATGTCCATATTGGGAACCTCATCGACAATACGGAGGCTGGTGGACCTGCCCCAGCAGCTGGTGCTGCACCTGCAGGAGGTCCTGCCCCCTCCACCACTGCTGCGCCAACTGAGAAGAAAGCGGAAGCAAAGAAAGAGGAATCTGATGATGACATGGGCTTTGTTCTTTTTGACTAAACCTCGTGTAACACAGTCAATAAAAAGCGTAACTCTAAAGAAATGAAATAAAAGAGCATTGCATACTCCAAATGTAGTCATATAACTAGTGAGGTATTCACATATCAGAAACTCAGTGATTCAAATACCAATTGTTCGATTGCTAAAATCGGTATCTATACCTAGTGTTCTCTCTGATTATAACATTTACTCTAGAGTACCTACAGACTCAGTGAATGAGAACATGAATCAATAGAATTGGAGTCTTTCAAAAATTTGCCAAGGACTTTGAAATCTTTGGCCTCCATTCTCATATCCCCATTTAGCCAAACAGGCTCTTTGGTTACCCGGCTATTTTGCTGCCCAGTTAGGACCATGAACCCATTACTGACATTTTCCATGAGAAGAAAAACTATCATTACCAAGGGTGAGGGATGGTGACAAACTAGCAGCAAATAATAGTAGCACAATCATTAGATAATAAATAACAGCCAAAAAAGACATAAATAAGCATTAGATACACATGCAATCAAGTATTTCAATTTCAATGAAAATTATATTTAATAATAGGGAGATATTATATTATACATCTTATTTTAGAAATAAAGAGTAAGCAAGTTGTCTCTCACCATACATATTTGATGGACTGTGGCCAAATTATCGAATTTACTTTACTTTCCCACAAGGAACAATTATAGTTTTCACTGCAAATATCCAAATAAAGACTAAGGTTTTCTATTGTGGCCTCAGAGGTCCATTTTTTAAAGTACAAATAACTGGCAGGCTATCCACTTGCATACACATCATTCCAAATTGCAATACAATTCTTGTCAGACAATGTATTTCACACTGTTTAAGTAATGCTCTGAGTGGAGTTCTATAAGATACTGCCAAGCTTACCTGCAGAGAAACACACTTCAGTAGTTCTCACAGAGCATGAAGGCATTTATCATTATTCAAATATAGAAGAAAAGGTTCCGATGTCTTTGACACTATAACTGGCTTGTGGTAAACTGCTGTTAAGCAGTTCAGTGGGCTGTATTTATCCTGCACAATTAGAAGAGATCTCTTATGCCATTCCACACAATACTAAGGAAATCAGAAATGCTCTGGGTGGAATTCCTTCCTTAGCTCTTACCCTGCACTCCCACGACTCAACCACAGACTAATCTAAAAAACAGATTAGCCATCAAAAGGGGGGAAATATGTGAGTGTGTAGGTATGTATGTTTGTATAGGGATAAGTTGTGTGTGTGTGTGTGTGTGTGTGTGTTTAAAGGAAAGCAGTATGTTTTTTCCATCATCCTTTGTCTTATTCATGTAAGTATCTAAGCAGAATGTTTATAAAATCTTTTCACAAAGGTAAATATAGGTTTCCCTGGCTGGGTGGCTCCCTTGGTTGGAGCATCATCACATACACCAAAAGGTTGAGGGTTCAATTCCCAGTCACGGCACATTCCTAGGTTGCAGGATCGATCCCTGATTGCAGTGCATTGAGGAGGCAACCAATTAATGTTTCTCCTCTCC